AAGTTGGAATGTCTTTAATTTATCAGAAATGGACACAATATATGTCGTAAATTAAACGTAAATGGAATATTTAATATGAGAGACAGTAAAGACAATACTTTGGTATAAAAATCAAATAACAGTTTGCTTTTGTCAACAAACTTTCCCTATGACTTTGCTAGAGTATGAAGAATTCAAAAGCTGGGTGGGATATGCTCATAATTTTCATTTTGGAAGCTGAAGCATGAAGATTTTCAGTTTGATACTATCTTGGACTACACAACAAATTCCAGGATGGCCTAAGCTAATTAGCAAGCCATCTAAAAACAAAATGTAACAAAACAGTGAGATAACTCTTCACAGAGAGAAACTTTACTAATTTAGAATGACCAATGGAAATTAAACTTCCAGGTACTTGGAATTGTTACTTAAAAATGACCATTTAGAGCTGAGCATGGTGGTACACATCTAAAATTCTCAGTATTTGGAATGCTGAGGCAGGAGGATGGAGAGTTCAAGGCCAGCCTGGAGTACATAGAGTTTACAAAACAAACAAACAACAAACAAAAAACCCCACAAGGGAAAAACCCACAAGAAAAACATTCACTTTTTTTTTTTTTTGAGGCAGGGTTCTGCAATGCTCTTCTCCTGCCTCTGCCATCTAAGTGCAAGGATTTCAAATGTGTGCTAACATACTCATCTTTTAAGTGATTTTGCTATATAGGCCATATTGTTTTATAACAGTGTAGTTTAGGCTGGCCTCAAAGTCATGGCATTTTTCCTGCCTCAGCCTCCTGAGTACTAGGATTATAGGTATGTACCACTATACCTGATTTCAAATACTCTTTTAAGTATAGACATCTATGAGGGTTTTTTTTGGGGGGGGGTAATGAATTGGGAAATAAATTCTGATTAAAATGTATATTTTAAAGCAGGTTTTCAAAAAAGATGAAATTTATTATTATGAATTTCAAGTACTACTGTTCTAAAATTGTTAGTTTTATTATAGAAGACAAATAGCACAAAAAGCCTTGGTACAGTATTTTGAAACTTATATTTTTGGGGCTGGCTTAGAAGTTAAGAGCATTGGCTGCTCTTTCAGAGGTCCTGAGTTCAATTCCCAGCAACCACATGGAGGCTCACAACCATCTTTAATAAGATCTGGTGCCCCCTTCTGGCATGCAGGTGTACATACAGGAAGAACACATACGTAATAAATCTTTAAAAAAAGAAAGTTATATTTTCTAGGGTAGGAAGATTTTTCTTCTTCAAAAAAGTGTATCACAAAAACAAGTGATACTTTTTTGCTGCTGTTGTTTTCAGAGACAGGGCGGCTTCTTTTGTGTAACAGCCTGGCTGTTCTAGAACTTGCTTTGTAGACCAGGCTGGCTTGGAACTCAGAGATCCACCTGCCTTTGCCGGGGGGTGAGGGGGGTGTGGGGGGGCGCGGCACGGTGGTGGTGGTTTAAAGATATGCACCACCATATCTGCCTACAACTGATTCATTTAGTAAGACTTCAGAGTTTGTTTTCTCACTTGTAATATCAGGGATAAAAAATGTGAAAATTATATCCAGATACTTTGTATTTCTTTGTTCTAGAAGTCCACTCTTTAGACTTTTGAGCTTAAATGTAGTTTATATTTTTCCTATGGCAATGTTTTGCTCACTTGATTTGCCTTTGAGAGGTACTGGCTGGTAGAAGATCCAAGTGAACTCTTTTTTTTTTTTTTTTTGTTTTACGAGACAGGGTTTCTCTGTATTGTTTTGGAGGCTGTCGGTCCAGCCCAGCCTCGAACTCACAGAGATCCACCTGCCTCTGCCTCCCGAGTGCTGGGATTAAAGGCGTGCGCCACCACCGCCCGGCTCCAAGTGATCTCTTAAGGAGTGGTTTTCCCTCCCTTACTCTGTCACCCTTTAATACAATTCCTCATGTTGTGGTGACCCCAATCATAAAACTATTGTTACTGTTACTTAATAACTGCAATTTTGCTACTGTTACGAATCATATTGTAAGTATCTGTGTTTTCCAGTGGTCTTAGGAGACCCCTGTGAAAGATTAGTTTGAACTCTAAAGGGGTCTGGACCCACAGGTTGAGAGATATTGTCTTAAGGCATCCAAGGTATCTTACTCAGGTTTGGTTACTGGTATGTATGCATATATAAAATCTTATCTAGCTGCATGTTTAAGATTGTGTACCTTATGGTTATATATTACACCTCAGATGAAAAGGGTAGCTAGCTACTTGGAAAGGCCCAAAATTACATATATAAGGCCCAAAATCACATATATAATTTAAGTCAAGACATATGTGGAAGGGGAGGCAGACACAGAAAGTATCTGATACTCCTAGCAAATGGACCTCTATCATTTTCAGGTGGAGTAACTGTGTCTAAATCTACAGTAAAGCTTCAATGATGGAAAACTATTAATGTTCTATCAGAAGTGGCGTCAAGAACTCAGTATCAGTTTATAAGCTTTTTGAGAGCTTAAGCAACGGGACGATAAAAGCCATCTTCAAATAGTTTATGATTACATATGCTTTTCACTTTTGCCTCTTAAGGTTTGGGTTTTGTAGTATTGTGTGACCTTCCAAACGATGAAGAATAAAAATAAAGTTTGGTTTTGTTATTTAGCAAGGTTTTGTTATTTAGCAATTGTTTTTAGCATGGTGAATAGCTGAAATTATAATTGTGATTTTAAAATGATGCATTGTTTTCCTATTAAGGGAGAAAAAGAGTTGGTTTATGTTGAAAATATAAACACTTAATTTGATTCAAAAGTGATAAAAAAAAAACTTCCTTGGAACTGCTATCACCTCCAAAAGCCTTTGAGAGGATTAGCTGCATAGACCAATACTGTTCTATATTAGTCAGTATTAAGAGTATGATGTCACCTTTCCCTTTCCCTCCTAAGCTTTTATTTTCAGGGAACGGAAGACTTTTGGGGGTAAGCCTGAAAATACTAAGGCTTAAATACCACTGATATACATGATTGACAACCTTACACCCCAAACCTGTCTGAAATGGGTCAAATACTTAAGCGAGCGCTGCAGAACAATGCAACCCGACCAGCAATTCCCGGTAAAAGAGAAAGGGGGTGTGATTAGACTCCAGCTGTTAAGCAAGTTGTTGAAAAACAAAACAAAAAAAACCAGTTCCGTGGTGGTTTGTTTCTGCAACAGGCAGAGGTTAAGCTTGTTTCTTCTAATCAGCTCCCCACCAAGGGGCTACGCTGTAAGAGACCAGCCGAATTGCCAAAGCAAACAGCAACTGGGACAAACATTAAGGGCTTTGTGGAGGAGGTCCTTCGACTGTCCCGCAGCCTTTATTGATGGTTCACCCCGCCGATCGGAATCTGTGTAAGGTGTATGGAGCCACAGTTAAGGATGCGTGTGCGTGCGTGTGTGCGGTGTGGGGACACAAGCGTCTAATAAAAGAAACGCAGCAACAATAGCGGAGGACCAGCTCTGCCTGGTGACGTAATGGCTGGCAGCGGTCCAGCCCCGGCAGAGCTGCCGCTACCTCAGCATCCAACCTCCCTCAACCCGGTCCAGCCCCGGCAGGAGCCACCGGAGCCGTGACTTCTGACGATGCCGCTCCGTGGCGGCCGCCGACGCCTTACCGTGGAGGTCTGGACCACTGAACAAAGGGTGTCCCACAGTCTTAAGTTGTCGGGGCACGCACACTCTCTCACACTTCTCCAACCCTCTCAGGCACCGACTCCATCCATCAGCGGCTTAAGTTGAGGGAGAGGGAAAAGACCGGAGCGCCTCAGTGTCCCCAGGCTGCTCTCCGGCCACCTCCTCCCCCGCCCCGCCGCCCCGGTCCCCCCAGCCCTGCGCCCCCCCGCGTCGGTCTCGGCGGGAGTGGATCCCGGCGGCCCCGCTCCCCCCGCACGCCGGTCCTCCCGCCTTACCTCTGCCAGGTAGAGGTTGAGGAGACAGAGCGTGGAGAACTGGAGGCAGGAGGGGAAGCAGTAGAGCAGCCAGTGCGGGAGGAAGTGCAGGCGGGAGGGCGGCCGCAGCACGGGCAGCGAGCCGCGGAGGGAGAAGGCGGCCGAGAAGAGCGTGGTCCGGAGCGCTGCCCACGCGAGACAGAGGAAGAGGCAGAGGCTCTGGTAACTGAGCCGCCGCTCGCGGTACAGCAGCAGCCGCCACAGCTGCAGGTAGGCAAAGGCGAAGAGCGCCGCGTAGAGCAGCGCGTGCAGCACGCTCAGCGCCAGCTGCACCGACCCGGGCACCGCGGCACCCGAGGCCGCCGCGCCGGCGCCCCCGCCGGGCGTCGGGGCTTCGCGGACGGCCGTGGGGACCGCGGCTGGCGCCGGCGCCGGCCCCGGCACGGACGCCCTCATCGGCGGACGCGAGCAGCGGCGAGGGAGCGCGGGAAGGAAGCGGCCCAAGCAACCCGCCCGGACCTCCCGCCCGCCCCAGCCTGCGGCCCCCACCCCAGGGCAGTGCGGTGACCGGGCTCGGCAGCCCCGCGCGCTGGCCGCGGCTGCCCTCGGGCCCGCCTCCCCCTCCCCCGCGCCGGGGGGGCTCGGCTCCTCCTGCCGCGGCTCGGCTCCGCAGCAGCGGCAGAAAACAACTCTCGGCTGCAGACAATCAGCTGAGAAGCCCGAGCATTTGAGGCGCTCGCTCCGCACTGTGAGCTGCCGGCGATTGGCCCGGGTGGGCACGCCTTCCGGGCGCCGCGCTCGGAAGACCACGGGCCTCGGAACCCGTCACTCCAGGATGCCTCGATCTGATTGGGCTGCTCGTGTCCTCCCTCCTTATCCCCGCCCCTCTCCCCACCCACGCTGCTGATTGGCCCAGCTACTGCGAGACCCGCTCGCGCCGGCGGCAGGACTCCAGATACAGTCTCCTAGGGCAGCTCTCGCCCCGCCCCGTCGGCCTCTCATTGGTCGCAGGATCTCTTACGTAAGGAGCACGAGGCGAAGGCGGGGCCTCGGTTGTTTTTCGCCCAGGAGGCTGATTTTGCGTAGGCAGTGGCGGCCGTGGGCGGCGAGCTCTATCAGGTAGGCGTTGTCGTTTGCGGGCTGCCTTGGGAACCAGCCGCTGCCCCCCCTTCTGGCTCCGCCTCCTCGCGGGTGGCGGGAAGTGGCGTCCTCGGAGACCGTTCGGTTCCTCGCTGGAAGGTCCTGCGCGCAGGTCTCCAGCAGGTGGGTGGCCGCGGGGCCTCGAGAGCCTGCCTGCAGGATTGCATGCACGTCTGCGGCGGGCAGCGTGCCTCTAGCAAGGCTGTTTGCGGAGCTTCGGCTTCCGATTCAGTACACTCGTTCTGGGGCGCTGAAGGGTCCTTGTTTTGGTTTATTTATCACCATCATCATTATTATTTCCTTTTTTTTTTCCTGGGTGAGTAGGAGGAAACATCAGGCGAGGGGAGTGAGTGGAGTAAAGCGGGAGCTGAAACTGTAAGTAATCTCTTGGGAAATGTCCCTTAAGCACGGGTGGCACGGGGAATGTTAAGGCCTTCTGCAAGGGGAAGGTGATTCTTTGAAACCTGCAATTTGGAAAGATGTCCTTGGCATAAAATTGGGGCGGGGCGGGGCGGAACGCAGGGGTGGAGGGGGAGAGCAGTAACAGTTTGGTGATTGTCTAGAATGGAAGAATTAGAGTGGTATTCCACTTGTGTGTAGGAGCGGGTGGTGCTATCTTCATCTGAGACCAAGAGGTACAAAAACAAATGTTACATTGTGTTTTAAATAAGTGAGACTGTCACTACATGTAATTTGTTACTTTTTTTTTGTATTGGGTGGCAGAGCAGTAAAAATGAGGAAGATTAAGAGGGAGTCTGTGTTCTCAGAGTGAGCATCTCACCACAGATTCGGTGTTCCTGCAGAGCATTCACCGGAGCATTCTAAATACCCTCTTTCCTATACTCTCTCTGCCTAGAAGAGTTTTGTTTACCCATCCCCCACTCACCAAGTGTCTGTTGCGCAGGGGTTTAAGATCTGTTTTGTACTGCGGCATTCTGGGCCAGCAGTTGACCAGGCAGTAGCTATTGCCACCCCCCCCCCCATCTGTGTATAATCAGGCACATACACACACAGTTATGATACAATGAAAAGAAAGCCTTAAGTCGGTGTGTTTATTCAGTGGATAAGGGCAGGGTCATCAGGTGAACTGTAACGAGACAGGGAAATGTGTAGCATTTAGATGTTTTCTTTTCTCTCATTGGTTTTAGGGTTGGTGGAGGCTGCCTACCTTCCAAACATTAAAAAGAAGTTAAGTCAGGTACACAGGCGGATGACAGTAAGTGGTGACTGCGGGATGATTTGCGCTCTTGCTTTATGACACCCCGTGTCTCAGGCGTGCTGCAGGGTCTTCATACAGATACGGGTTCTTTAGAGAACCTGGGCAGCAGCAGCACTTACTCATCCAGCTCAGCAACAAGCAGTTCTCATTCTGCGTGCCCTAGTGCATAGTTCTCCGTGGCCCTTGGCTTTGTCCTGTGAGAGAGATAAAAATTAATAGTTTTACCATTATCTTGGTCACATCTCAAACTGGCTTTGGAGCATTTGGCCTCTTTTTGAGACTGAGTGGTTTGATGAGCATGCTTCTTTGAGCATGGAATGGTGTGGGTCTAAGTTACAGTTGGTGTTTGTGTAATGGGATAGTGTGGGTCTAAGTTAGGATTTGTGTTTGTGTAATGGGATAGTGTGGGTCTGAGATGTGATTTGTGTTTGTGTAATGGGATAGTGTGGGTCTGAGATGTGATTTGTATTTGTGTAATGGGATAGTGTGGGTCTGAGATGTGACTTGTATTTGTGTAATGGGATAGTGTGGGTCTGAGTTGTGATTTGTATTTGTGTAATGGGATAGTGTGGGTCTGAGATGTGACTTGTATTTGTGTAATGGGATAGTGTGGGTCTGAGTTGTGATTTGTGTTTGTGTAATGGGATAGTGTGGGTCTGAGATGTGACTTGTATTTGTGTAATGGGATAGTGTGGGTCTGAGTTGTGATTTGTGTTTGTGTAATGGCATAGTGTGGGTCTAAGTTACGATTTGTGTTTGTGTAGTGCCTATCTTTGCTGGTACTCTCCAGAATCTCTCTCTCTCTCACTGCATACATTGTTAAATACAGCCAGCAGCCGCTACTATTCAGTATGAGTTTTCTCTTTCCAAGCCCCTTCTCTTAGTGGTTTGAAACAGGCTCATTAGCTGGAAGAATCTTGGGGCACACCCATTGTAGAGTCATTGGGTACGTATGGTCTTCAGATTACCGTGGTCACAGCTTTGTCAACTTGATGTGGCTTGGCTTTGATGTCAGTGTCTGATAAGCCTGTTCTCATGAGGCCCGGGGCCAGTTTTGGGCTCTGCTTCATCTCCTAGCCAGTGCTTTAGAGTTTTTATTTAGGCAGCTGCTCATTTGTAGCTTGTGTACCAATGGGCACAGACTGTTTTATACTGCAGAAGTAGCCCCTCAAATCTTGATGGCTTAAAATTTTACAACATTTCTTCCTTAAGCTTGTGACACATTAGCTAGGGGTCTCTGTGTGGTGTTCGCGTGAACAAGATAGCTACCATTTTGAGCACTTCTGGTGGCTTTGATATGAGGAAATAGAGTGTGCCTGCCACATACTGGCTGTTGAAATTGTCACCTGATACTCCTCTTTTCCTTACCTTCTCTCGCCACAGTGAAATCACATGGTGTCACAAACAACTTCAGCAGAGTGGACTGAGGAAGCTCACCGAAGCCTGCTTTTCACCTGTGAAGAGGCAGGAACCAAGGATCTACGACACCTAAGCGGCCAGGTCACATTTCTCCCGTGGTTCTCATCAATGTGTGTAGGTGTGTAGATTTTTGAAATCCCAAACACTGCTTTTTAGTGCCTATTCTAGTTACTGGGGCTGGGGGAGGTCCGCCACTAAATATCCCCCATATCTTGTTCTTACTCTGTGATTGGGGCAGGGCTGTCACTGAATATCCTCCAAATCTTTGTTTTTACTCTGTGATTGGGGCAGGGCTGTCACTAAGTATCCTCCAAATCTTTGTTTTTACTCTGTGATTGGGGCAGGGCTGTCACTAAATATCCTTCAAATCTTTGTTCTTACTCTGTGGCTGCTGACTGCCTTTCCCACCTGCATTCTCTGTCTTGTAGCTTAGAGGTCCTTGGGTAAGGAGGGCAAGACTCTGAGCAAATGCTTTTTATTTCCCACACATGGGTTTGTCCATTCTTTTGTAGCTGGGTAGGGTAGATTAGATTAATAATAGAAGCTGTGGGAGTTTATTTACATGCAAAAAAAAAAGAAGGTGAAAGATTGCTAAGAGCTGAAGACAGAGGAGAGAATAAATAATAACTTTTAAAATAAAAATGAGGTGATTTGTTTAAGAAAGTGATGTGAGATGGGTATGATTCCAGCTCATGCCTGTAATCCCAGCATTCTGGAGGCTGAGGCAGGAGGATCACCATGAAGCCAAACTAGACTACATAGTAAGCTCCTGTTTAAAAAAAAGCCAAGAAAAGACAAAAAAGAAAGAAATGGGTTTGTGGGTTTGAAAAGTTGCTTTGATATCTATCATTGTCTCAATTTTTTTTCTTTAGAGAGAATTGCTCTCAATTGCTATTATGTGTTTTGACGTAGACAGCTATTTTCAGTAACTTTGGCTCTTGGTGTTGCAAGATATATTAAACCTCTGTCCCACTTGTCATTTGTTGTATTTCCTTTGTGTCTCCAAACCATTCAACTAGTGGATCCCACATACTCTATGCTTTATGTAATTTTAAAATAGTCAACTATTATTAAAGGTGGAATAATTGAGAGATGACTGATACATTACTTTCTGTGGTCCCTACTTGATCATTTGGACAGCACTTCCACACGTGTATTCTCATTTCTCCAGTTAGATAAAAGGCATCTCAAGTTTGCTTTGGATGTACAGTCAAACCTTTGGAGTTGCAAAACACGTTGAAGGGGAGAGAAAGAGCGATCAACTTTAATGTCCAATTTAGGCTAAAGTAAATTGAATTGTAGACTCAAGACAAGGAAATGATTGATGTTTGATATTTCAGTTGTAATTTAACCTAATACTTTGCAGTTTAATTAGGTTATTGTTATTTCATGTAGGAATGAATGCTCTATAGTTATTCTCTTAGCCACAGAAATACATACAGTTTCCTCTAGAATACAATAAAGATAGTGGGTGACCTATTTTAAAATGTTCCCATTAATATAAAGCAGTCCTGAAATAGGTTGATTACAATGGCAAGAATGTATTATCAATGTTAAGGATGCCTTTTAATTAGGTGTCATTAAGATTGCATTTTTATATGCAACTGTTACTTTTCATTTTACTTTGAGTTTTTCTTTTAACACAGAGTTAAAAACTGAAGGCAAATCTGTTCAGTGACAATAACATGGTCTAATGAATTTGAAAAGTATTAAGTAATTCATGAATCATTAGTCTTGTTGATAATCTTGAATGAATGGAGCATGTAGCCAGTGCTTTATGATTTCTTCATAAAGTTGTCATCTTATTCTTAGTTGAAAAATTCTGCCCTTACTCTTAGGAGTCTATAGAAATAGTTTTTTGCTGTTTTCATTACCTGTTTTATAGCAGTGATCTTGTATTTGAAATATAGAGGTCCTATTTCATATTAAAAGATGAAAATTCTCACCTACACCTGTGAGTTTACCTTTTGTCTTTGTAAATATGGTAGTTTTACATAATCTTAATTTCACTAGAGACTGGGAATGTAACTCTTTGGTAAAGTGCTTACCTAAGCTATCTTTTAAACTTTGACAGTATAGATCATTAGTAGGAAAAACTCCTGGAGTTGTTTAAGAAAAAAAACAAACCAGAACAAACCAAAATTGTAGAACAGCAGAGAAGACTGACAGCAGGACAAGGAGGAAAGTAATAAATATACTAAGAAAGTTGACAGGAGGAGGGCTAGACCAAATTGGGTTCAGAAAGCAGGACTGGATTAGCCAGTTGAGAAAGATTTCTGTGTATAAGCAGTGTAAAAGAGTATGTCCTAAGCATTAAAATAGGCGTATGTTCAGAAAGAATGTTCTTGCATAATGGGAGTAGATTTCTTGCAGGAGATTTAAAAGGTAGTAAACCCATAGCAGACTTTAGATGTCTCCTTCCCAGCCAAATGGCATTCAGAAGCTGCTGGAGTATTTGTTGTACACTAGCTGTAAATGGATCAAACAAAATGTCTCATTTTAAAAATGCATAGAGCTAGGCTTGGTTATATAGGCCTGTACTCCCAGCTGCTCAGGAGGCCGGGCAGGAAGGTCGTAAGTTCAAGGCCAGTTTGGACAGCTTAGTGACAGCTTGACTTCATAGTAGGTGGCTGCGGCTAAAAATCAGTGGTAGAGTGCTCACCTGGCTTGTACAAGATTGTGAGTCCATTGTCTCACACAGGAAGTTTAAAAAAGTAAAGGACTGGATAATATTTTCAGTTAGTTTTAGAATGTCTGAAATGTCAGCTTAACTTACTGTAGTAAATGCTTGTGAAACTTAAACATTTTGTAGGTATTCTTGATTTCTTTTGCAATTATCAAAAATTAAGCTGAGTATGGTATTGAATGACTATAATCCAAAAGGCAGCAACAGGGTTGCTGTGAGTTTGAGGCGAGCCTGGCTACAAACTAGAACCTTGTCTAAAAAAAACACACACACACAAAAATCAACAACAGCAGCATGCCCACTCCAAGGCCTGGTAATATAGCTAACTCTTAGTGATACAGTGCTTCCTTAAACTACACAGTCGCCATCGCCATCACTGTGAAGATACAAAATGAAATCAAAGTATCATCAGCTCAGTGTCCTTATGTATCACCCCTCCACCCCCAGAGTTTCTTTCTTACTAGAAAGAAATAAAATTCTAGTAAAATCAAGTAATGTAGTGACTTGACTATTCACCTGGTGTCTCTAACTTCCTTCTTTTAACAAATCCATCTAACAGAACACTGTTGATCTCCTACTCTGTGCCAGGTATCTCTTGAGGCAGTAGAGCATAGCCGTGAAGACAGCAGACACGTTACCTGGCACACGTAACCAACTGCAGCTCATGATGTCTTCTGGCTTCGTGGTGTTTAGAGCTGGAGTTGCACTGGTTTTGATGTGCAGTTTTTACAGGTCAACTGAAGACCCCCTCCCAGAACTGAGTCCTCAGCAGTATTTTAGCACACTGCAGCCAGGAAAAGCCTCTTTAGCTTATTTTTGTCAAGTTGGTAAGTGTCTGTTACAGTTTCTACTTGTCATCATTACGCTAGGTGGGAACTTTGGTCAGTTGCAACAGTATAAAGCTGTTTCAGTGCTCTGCCTGCTTGGAAGAAGGAATCCAAACACCTTAGCCTTTCTCTGTTTTTTTGCTCTGATGTAGTGGTGATTGCCTTTTAAGTTTAGTATGAGGATTAAATGGGTTTACACATGTGCTTACTTCATAGAAAATACTAGTTCAGCCATCTGGGTTTCATGCAGTCATTTCTGGAGGAATGCTTGCTTATTCTTTGCTTTACATGTAGCTGTTTTTGCAGTTTTATAAAAGTGGGTATGTAGTTTTAGCAGTGCTTTGGCTTAACATTCTATATTCTGCTTTGGTTGTGTCATTAATTAAACTGAGTTAATTAATATGACTATTGAACATAATTGTGATGGTTTCATATAAGTCTTTATGCCAGGGTGGTGGCGCATGCCTTTAATCCCAGCACTCGGGAGGCAGAGGCAGACGGATCTCTGTGAGTTCAAGACCAGCCTGGTCTATAGAGCGAGTTCCAGGACAGCCTCCAAAGCCACAGAGAAACCCTGTCTTGAAAAAACAAACAAACAAAAAAACCCCCAACAAAAACCAACCCAACCCCCCCCCAAAAAAAACCCCAATACAGTTGTATTGGAATTACCAAAATGACTTCACATTCTAGTCATCCTTTAATTCTAATTGTGATTTGGGATTTTAAAGTCATTTTGAAAGTTTTTAAATGTGTGTCTAAGATCTGTGTATATGGTGTTAAACTTGGAGGAATAATACCACATTAGATTTAAACATTTTTTTCTTTTTGAGACAGTGTTTCTTCATGTAGCTCTGGCTGTCCTGGAACTGGCTCTGTAGACCAGGCTGGCCTTGAACTCACAGAGATCCGCCTGTCTCTGCCTTCCAAGTGCTGGGATTAAAGATGTGTGCTACCACTGCTCAGCTTGAACTTATTTTTTTTTTATCATGTGCTTTAATAAGAAGTTTTTAAGATAATTTACAAAATTATATTGTGATAATATAAATAGGAATAAAGAAACAACAGGAAAATGTGTGGCTGAATGTGTCTACTTGTCATAACATAATTTTTTGTGTGTTCACATTTTACCTGTAATTTTAAATACTCATCTTTTAAAAGAGCAGATTCACAAATATTCATCCAACATTTCTTATTTTAGGTTCTCTAAGTAACTCTGTGTTTCTTGAAGAACTAAAAGAAGCCATTAGACCTCTCCAGGACTATGGGATTTCAGTCTCAAAGGTAGACATATATTTATGTTAATAAATTATCAGCGACAGACATTTGCAATAGTATGACCTAAGACTGTATATCAAAAAGCACATTAGCTTCATACCTTTTTCCAAACTGAGAAAAAAATGTTTCTTTCTGGCTTTTTACCTAAGCACAGAAAGATAGCTTCCGATGGTTATATAACAGTGAATGAAGAGAAAAGACACTGCCTAAATCCCCCAGCTGTGAGAACTTAACTGCATTTCATAACCCAGTCTCTCAGAGTATTTTCAAGCCATGGTAGGTTTTTGTTCTCCTTTGTCCTAGAAATATTTCACAACAGCCACAATTTGGCTGCTTATTATATTTCTGTTAGTTTAAATGGAAGGAAAAAATGAAGGTGACTAAAATTTTTTGACTTTTCTGTTTTTATAATTGTTTATGCTATAGTTTGGATATTTTTTAGAATAAAATAAAGCAAGTCATTTTGAAAACAAATTTTTTTTTCAAAGCATGTTCAAATTTGCCACAGAGTTTTATGGACAGCTTCCACGTTTATCGAGTTGGGTGACATCTGAGACTTGAATTAGCTTTACATGAGAAGTCTCCCAGTGATTGTCGCTCTTTTCAGATTAGTGCCTACTCGCTTTCTCGTACGTTTATTTGTTCTCAGCTCAGCTACCACCCTTCTCCCAGAGATGACTGTTGTCCCTCCTGGTGTCTGTGGTAGGCTTCCTGCAGGAACTTAGGACAGTATGTACCTTACAAAAACCCAGTCATACTACAGACTCCATCCTTAGTGTGTCAGTCTTTCTTTGTGGACACTGGGTTTACTTACCGATTCTGTTCTAGAATGTTACCAGCATTCATGAACTCTGGGTAAAAATTTAAACAAAAATTCACACTGGCTGCTGCTGCATTGGACCTAGTTCGGTTCCCAACACCGACACGGCAGCTCCCTGCCATCTGTAACTCCAGTTCCAGGGAATCTGATGCCCTCTTGTGACCCCTACCAGCACCAGGCACACATGTGGTACTCATACATATATGCAGACACTCATGGACATAAAATAAAAAGAAACTTTAGAAATGAAATAGTAATTACATGATGCTCAAAGGCATGACTGTGCTAGTTAACTAATCACAGGTAGAGAAGAACCTAGACCTGTGTGACTAGAGGAGAATTTTAGGATCTGTGCTTAGGTAGGTTGCACTTACTGACCGATATAACTTAAAACTTTTGATTTTTATGGTTGAGAACACTGAGATTTCCTCAGAGAAGATGGTGAATCACAGGTTCATCCTGAACATTTAGCTCAGTCCTTGCCACATAAGAAATAGTAAATATTCATACAGTGAAATGAGTTTACTCTATTGAGTGTTCGTTAGATGACCAAGACCTAGTCCTTTTCTTTGGAGAGGATATATTGTAAATATGGGGATATATTACATTCACAGACAGATCATCTTAGTAATGAGAAGAATGGAATCATTATCATAAGGGCTATCCACATCCAGTTCCATGTTAAATGAAGTGCTGAAAGTCACAGTGGTGTTGGAGAGGAGTAGCATTTGAGAATGTCTTCAAAAATTAAGATTGACAGAGACAGGTAGATTAAGAAAACACCAAAACATACATGTCTTTGCTGTGAGTGAGTGTGTGTGTGTGTGTGTGTGTGTGTGTGTATGTGTGTCTGTCTGTCTGTCTGTCTGTCTCGAGTACCCACACTTGAGTTTAGTTAGCTTGTTTGAATGATGACGAGTCAGGGGTATTTAGTGGAACATCTTACTAGTGGTTACACCACTGAATAAAATGGCTGCCTCTCCCTCGGCCACCATTAGTTGCCAACAGCTCCTCTAGGCTGGGTGGAGCTGAAATACAAGTGGACTAAATAATTCCGGTTAAGAGAAATATTCTCAACTTGGACAAAGTAACCAAGTCTAACTTTATGCTATTTAAAAATGTTTTGTGACTGTATCAAATCGGTTTTTAAAAGGAACAAAAGCCCTTTAGTCATCTTTGGCTTTTTTTCTCTCCTGACCAGTCCCTGGACCACTAGGCTCTGTTGTCCAGACTTTTCAGTCTCAGCGGCTCTCATACTTCACCCTTACTCTCTGGTCACCGAGAGGCCACAGTGCTGTCCCAGTCACTGGCTGTTTCCTCTCTTACCCTGCTACAGACTCCTCTCCATGTCTGATGACAGTGAGGCTCACAGTGGACTAAAACCCTGAGTGTCACAGAGACTGCCTTGTCAGTGATTGTTTTCTGTTCCCTACTTTCTTTATGTTCTTGTTCATTTTTCTGTGCCTGCCAAAGCTGCCATTACCATAGGACCTTTGCAGGTATTTTCACCTCACACACACACACACACACACACACACGTGTGTGTGTGTGTGTGTGTGTGTGTGTGTGTGTATGTGTGTGTGTGTGTGTGTGTGTGTGTCCGTGTGTCCCTTCCATTCTTAATGCAGTGTCACCCCCTCAGAGTCCTCAGAGGAGCCTTCATATTTTCCATCTCAAATGGTCTGGTGTATCCTGTCCCTTTGTATAGTACTTAACTTTATATATTAATTATTTGATGTTTATACTTTTAAAATGTAAGTTCAAAATAAAGTTTTTATTCAGGACTTTGTATTCCCAGTGATTAACATAATGGTAGATGTTCAGACTGTAGTGAATGAGTACATGGATCTCTTGTCATAAAGTCCAAAGCTTTGAAGTTAAAAACTTATGTCCACTAAAGTTCTTTAGGTGATAGTTGACTTAATTCTCATTTTCTGTTCCTCATGTCTTTCCTATCAGTTCCCCTTTTATACTTTTTTTTAAACAAACAGCTTTCATTGTTTCCTCAAATTCTGCATAAATATTTTAAAGTAACAAGAACAAAAACCTCATTCCATCAAAGCAAACAAAACCCATAACCAAATTCAACACAAAATAACTGCCTCTCCAGCCTTTGTTTAGGTTAGTTACCTTGGTGGCCGTTTATCTTCCTAGCTGGAAATGTGTGCTCTCCTCATGGCTTGCTTCTGTGTGTTGATGCGTGTATACACTCACTCTTCATAGTTTCCCTTCCTGCCTTCACGATCAGCCTCTTAGGTCTTCATGGCGTCCCTCCAGGTCCGGGTCCTTGGCCTGTACTTAAGTTCTTGCCTCCTTATTTTGTGCCCTCCCACCTTCCGTCTTATTTTCATGATTGGTCTCAGACATTTCCTCACAGACGTCTCGGGTGTGAGGGTCTGGCTTGGTGTGGCAGCTCTAACACTGGAGACTTGGTTTATTTTAGAGAGTCGGGTGAAGGTGTCCATGCTTGCGATTGCCACTGGTACTCTAGCATTCTTATTGAGAGATAAGCCGGCAGTCTCCTGAGAGCTACCAATCAGTTCTCACACAGTAGTTTCTCCCAATGCCACATGCACCCCGTGGCCATCCTGACCTGCTCTGGAGGCTAAAAAAGCTTTCCAATGTGACACTTTATTTTTTTCAAAGTGGTTCTGTTAATAAAAGTGAGGGGTTGATGGACGCGCCTTAGGAACCAACAGAACTTACTAGCTGTACTTGTGCCTTCCTGTTTTACTTCCTTACCTCCTGATTGTTTTGCAAACTTAGTTAAATGTAAACCTGTGGGAAATTAAACATCACCTTGAGTAGCAGACAACGGTTCCTTTGTGTGGTTTCCTCTAGTGCCCGAGTGAGCGTGAAAGCACCGAGTCAGGAAAAGTGAGAGGCAGACCTGAGCCTGGAGACAGGTGGTGAGGTTTCCTTCACCGAGAAACTTGTCCCCCTGATACATACCTTAACCCTTAAATACAATCTCTTACAGGTCAACTGTGTCGAAGAAGAAGCGTCAAGGTACTGCGGGAAAGAAGAGGGTGTGATGAAAGCGTACTTATTCAGGTAAATTCTCTTCGGAGCGTGATGCAAGGCAAAAGTTTTAGACTGCTAACGAGCACACGGCTCATCACTGAGCCGGAGTAGCCTGGTCTTCAGTGGGGACTGAGGGAGTTTAGAGGAAAGTCCAAGGAGTGCTTTGTCCTTAACCTTTCGGAGCCTCTTCACAAAAGCTGGAGTCCAGTCGAGCATTGCCTGAGAGTCTTTTGTGAGTTACTCCTGGGCGTTCTGTGTGGCTCTGCCACCTCCATACCGGGAACCCTCTCCTCTGAGGGTGGGTGGCTAGGTGTTGGTTCCTCTACCGTTGAGTCTGTTACCTTATCCTGGAGATGCAGTCTCCAAGTACAGAGAGCCTGTTTATTTGGTCAGGAAACTTTCTCTCACATGCTTGTTTCCTTCCCAAGCCAATCTGGAAACCTGTGTGTGATGAAGATGTTACTAGGAAGTCCCTTTTGGGTTTATATTTGTTTATTCCCCAGTATTTTTTGTTGTTGTTGTTGCCAAGTATATGTCCTAAGCTTTTCAAACTGAACATGCTTATTTGGGTATACTCTGAAAATATTTGAGAATGTTATGTACCAGCACCCTAATAGGTGTGTGGGCACACAGACAAGACACAGGCTGTAACATCAAAGAACTGATATTACACAGCCAAGCAGATTGGAGTGTAAGGAGGTGCTTCAATAATGTGTTCTTAAAACGTTTCTAGAGGCCACATCCTGCTCAGAGAATTCCCCACTGACACCTTGTTTGACGTGAACGCCATCGTAGCACACGTTCTCTTGTAAGTACAGGGGGCACCCATTTGCTTGTCTGTTGGTGATTTCCACTTTTGAGAAGCACAATCCTCAGAGTATTTTAGAGTTTTAACATATTTATAGGCTTAAGTTTCATCCAGATTGCCTGTTTATCTTCTCTCCTCAAGGATCTGAAATTTTCTTCAGTGACAGAAACACAGGAAGGCATGCTCTGTTTGAAGGTTTTCGTGCTATTGGCTTGCTCGTGCAGCGGTATTTACTAGACACCATGGTCTGTCTGGGATGCTCTAACAGAATCCACAGACCATGTGGCATAGAGAGCAGAATTGTGTTTTTCAGTTTTGGAGGCTGGAAAGTCCATGTCAAATTACCAGCTAATTTGGTGTCAGATGAGGGTGGAAGACTGTTATCCCCATGTCCTCTCAGAGCAGGAGGAACCTGGGTATCTGAGGTTCTTTTATGAGGCTCTTAATCTCATCCACAGTGGATCTGCTTTCATGATCCAATCTTTCCTCAAAGCCCCACCTCTGAAGCCCACACTTTGGGGATGGGTGTCAGTGTGTGCATCTCAGGACACACACACACACACACACACACACACACACACACACACACACGTCAAGTGTGTGCATCTCAGGGGAGAGACACACACACAGGTGTCAGTGTATGCATCTTGGGACACATACATGGGTGTCAGTGTGTGCATCTTGGGACACACACACACACACACACACACACACACACACACACACACACACACACACACCCCTACCTGGGTATCACTGCTAAATTTAGCTCTAGCATTGAGTATCCCAGCAAAGCAAAGGTTTAGCTTTAGTAGCTTTGGTATCTTGTTAATCATAGTTGATTCTTCTGCTCCAGCTAACCAGAACCACAGAATCTTAATTCAAAATAACAAATGGCCCAGATAGAGTCTTCAACTTCCCTCTGAAACTTCATGAGCCAGGCAGGCCTCCGTCTTCTGCACTGCTATCAACATGCTTATCTTCCAGCCTCCTACAGACCAATGGCTTTTCTGTCCTAAAGTTCCAAAGTCCTTGCGCAGTCCTCCAAAAAACAGGGTCAGGTCTGTCATAACGATACCCACTACACCTTAGTTAGGGCTTCTGTCGCTGTGACCACACTCTGTGAGCAAAAAGCGAGCTTGGGAGGAAAGGGTTTATGTGGCTTACACTCCCACATTGCTGCTCATTATCGGAGGACATCAGGACAGGAATCTGGAGGTGGGAGCTGACACAGAGGCCATGGAAGGTGCTTCTTACTGGCTTGCTCAGCCTTGTCTCTTACAGAACCCAGAACCCCAGCCCTCCCCATCACTAATAAAGAAAATGGCCTACAGCCAGGTCTTACGGAGGCATTCTCTCATTTGGGGTCCCGTCCTCTAGATAACTCTAGCTTGTGTCAAGTTGACATAAAACTAGCAAGGACAAGCCTGAAGGCCAGTTGATTGATGAAAGATGACCTTTATCTTTTTAGGAACTAGTTTATTGAGATATAATGCATATGCTGTTCAACATAAAGTCTGTAGTTCAGTAGTTTTTAGTGTATTTACTGATATGTCCAACCATTACCATGATCAATTTTAGCTTTTCTCACTTTATAAAGAACCTTGACTCATTGGCTCCCATCTTCCTATGTCCCACCCCTAAGATGCCTCCCATATACTTTGTAGACTTTCCATTTCTGGACATTGACTATAAAGAGGGTCTTATACTGTAGTGTCCTGAGCTGCAGCCTGAAAGACGGCCTTGTGAAGAAGGAATTCAGTGGGGTTGCATGCAGTTCAACTAAAGCCAAAATAGAAGGCATGCTACTGTTCTCGGGAAACTGCCACCCCCCCAGCAGATAGCTGATAACAGTTTTGATCTCAGAAATAGGGGTGAAGGAAAAGGGAAAGGCGATTGTTTAAGCAGTAGGGGTCACTAAGGTTTCCTTTCCCCAAAGTATGAACCCAGGTCTGACACCAGATTTCAGAGCCGGTCTACACTGGACACCCATGGCCCAGAGTTTTTAACCAGTCAGGTCCTAGCTCAGGAGAGGCTGTGGATGCTGAGACACCAGTCACCGGAAGTGCTTGGGCTGGGGAGGTTGTTGACATCCTGTTGTGGTAGTGCTGGCATTCCTAGTGCCGACTTAGAGAACATGAACTCCACATGTCATTTGCTTACCATGTGCCTGCTACATGCCAGACATTTTCTAGACATTTTAGACAGACTAGGCTTCTGTTCTTGAGAAACTTGGTATTTTCTCCCGGAGGCAGATGTGGAAGGCACGCTGTGGTAGGAACGACACTGGAAGCTTGTATGCGGAAGGGCTGACGGATGCATAGGGAAGGGACCAGGCACGTCTAGGAAGGGGTGGGTATTGACTCAGTGGGCTTCCTGAAGAAAGTAGGGGATACGATAACCCTTAAGAGTAAATGCCTAGCCGGGCGGTGGTGGCGCACGCCTTTAATCCCAGCACTCGGGAGGCAGAGGCAGGCGGATCTCTGTGAGTTCGAGGCCGGGCTGGACCGACAGCCTCCGAAACAATACAGAGAAACCCTGTCTTGTAAAAACCAAAAAAAAAAAAAAAAAAAAAAAAAAAAAAAAGAGTAAATGCCTGGTTGCCTGGTGACGAGGAGAGCGGGGAAGTGCGTGGGAAATGGTGTGGAGAGCTTAGTATTCCGGGGTGTGAAGGCAGGTTGTACAAGTCTGAGCGTGTCCCGAGGTGGTCCAGGCAGAGCACTTTGGCATTGCCTGGTGTGCAGGCAGCCTCAGTAGAGAGTGTGGTTCCAGCTGAGGCTGCAGTGAAGTGACATGCACTCCCAGAAGCACCCGGCTCCGTTGTGGGTTTGGGTTTTAATTAATTTTTGTTGTTGGCTTTCAGAAACCTTTTATTATTGGCGAAGTTTTCATGACCCTCACCCAAACCCATACCCACAATTGAAGAGAACCCACTTTGGACTAGCTGTTCTTAATGTGCACAGCTGTATTCAGGTCCATGCGCCTGCTCTTTTCAGTTACTTACTTCTAAGATTGTAATTTAATTACAACATATCTCCCTCCCCTTTCCCCTATCATATATCTTTACCTGATCACCTTTAAATCCATGATCTCTTTCTCTGTTACTGTTACTGCATACATGTATATATATATATATTCATATATACATATATATTCCTAAATATAACCTGTTGGGTCCATATAATGTTACTTATATAATGTATGTGTCCCTTTTTCAGGATCCTTACCTCAGACCTTGGCTAAGGCACTTTCCAGGGCTTCTGCTAAGAAGTTGTCACTGGTCCTTAGTAAAACCTGCTTTGTAAAAAAATTTATTTTTTGGACATTTTGCATTACTCCTAACCCTTGCCTGTTAGTCCTGCCTCCCTGGACTGTAAGTGAAGAGCCCTTTGGGAAACTTTTGGTAGACACAATGATGGCTTGTGTCTGCACCATGTGCACCTGGTTACTGATTGTTACAAAGAATCAAGACCATCTTGAAGTTGGCCCCTTTCTTTGTGTCACAGCGGGGGAACAAAATCTTTTTCCTTATTCCCTTGCCCCTTTCCAAGTGTGTAGAGATTGAACCAGGGCAACACTTGCTTAGGCGAGCTTTTGCCTCTGAGTATCCAGAGTATCTGATTAAGAGTATCTGATTAAGTTTCCATCATGACTTTGGGTTTGGGCTAATTGTCCTGATGAACCAACCCAAAATCTGATCAGTTTTAAGACACGTAGAAACTTCTGTGTGGCCATTGTGTAATCTAGGGAAGTAGAGCAAAGAGCTTTTCTTCCTGCTTACACTGTGGAAATAACGGGGCTTAGCAACAGTTAATTCAGTATGGGTCAGCAACGCTACGAACTTAGTTCTTTTACTTAAGCAATATATTACATGTATTCATGGTTTGATGGCACATTCCTTTTATCACTGAATAGTATTCTTTGGTGTGGATTTTCACCTGTTTACCCATGCACCTGCTAAGCATATTAGTTCCTTCCAAGTTTTAGGAATTATGAATAAGGCTGCTGTAAATGCCGACGTGTAGGTGTTTGGGCATAGATATGTGTTTACCCCTTTGTTTATAAATACATAAGAGTAAGACTTGTGGCTTATAATGTTTAATTAGTAAGAAACAGCAAAACTGCTGTTCCAAGTTTTGCAATGAGAGATTTATGGTCTATTTAGAGGCATCTCACTGTGAACATCTCTTCAGATGCTGACAGGCTACCTGTTATTTGGTGTGCTGTCCAGATATTTTATCCACTTTTTAAATTGGCCTGCTACATTTTTATCAGATGCATGTTTTGTTAGATACTTTCTTTCAGTTTGTGGCTTTTCCTCTGTTCTTTTAATAGTTTTTTCTTTTGTCCAGAGCACAGATACTATTTTTTTTAATAATGAAATTGAACCTAACAATATTTTTAAAGTGAGTTACCAATCACAGGTCACTAACTTTTGGTTTCTTTTGGGAGACAGGATGTTGTTGTGCAGCCCAGGCTGGTCTCAGACTTACTATATAGCCAAGGATGACCTGGAACTTCTAATCCTCTTGCCTCTACCTCTTTGTTAGCCTATACTGGGATTAAAGGCAGCACCACCACAAAGGGGATGTATAAGGTGTAGAGTCGGTGTGTTTCGTATTTGTGCATGTGGATGGCCAGTTTTCCAGCACCTTTTGTTAAAAAGATGATCCTTTCTTTATTGAATTGCCTTTGCTCATTTGCTAGAAATCAGTCGATTGTGTTTGTGGGTGAGCTTCTTCTTGTACCGTTCTATTTTGTATTTAATGAAGTAAGTATATTTTAAAATTATACTTTATAAACATCCTTATAAATTTTCTATACTATAAAGGCATGTAAATATGTAACCCTAAATATTTCATGTTTAAGATGAAAATCTGTTTGGGATTTGACTTGGTGAATAGTGTGAGGAATGTATGATCCAGTTGGCCACTCAGATGCCCAACACAACTGAAATAATGTTTTTTTTTGTTCACTATTTTTGGTGCTGTGGTTTACAC